ATCATGATTCTCGATACTCACGAGCAACAAACGAACAGTGGAACCACTTGAAACCTCTAATCGCGTTAGTTCGGTTGTCGGCGAACGTTCACGGTGGGATTCCCGTTTGATGGACGGGCCAGGATTAGCTGCACAATATCGCGGTCGCGTATCGCGCGCCGAAAAGAACTGAACTGGGGAAACAAACACGGAAGAGGGTTGAGAAAGAAAAAAAACGAAAATTTGTTTTAGCGGGAAACGCGACGCGACACACTGCAGTGATTAACGCCGGATAAATCGTAATCCCTGTCCACTGGCGCGCAAGCATAACCGTGAGTAAACCCACTGAGATTTGACCGGGAATCCCCGCGGATTTAACGCATTCGGCTGGCCGATTTATTGCTTTCAGATATTGATTCGGAGTAAGTGTAACTTTTGCGATTTGATTTACGGTGATAACGCTGTTTTACTGGATTGTGGAGTTGCGGTGCCTGCGGGGGTACCTTCGAGTTTCCAGAATTTTCGATTTTCTGTCGCCGATTTCTTTTATCAGAACGAAATTTCTGTTCAAAAAATTAGGGAATTTCGTTTCGACGAAAGAAATGCGGGGATAATTTTTAATCCTTTGCACTCGGAAGCTTTTCACTATTTGAAACAAACTAATGAGAAAATATACGTAAATTAAGAAACAAAGCTGTTTTATATAAATATTTCACATATTGATGCATTATAGAAAACTTAATGTTATATATAACACTTTGTAATTTTGTTATATCAAATCAAATGGTGACCGAGAGTCACCTCTCGAGTGCAAAAGGTTAATTTTGAAAGTCGTAAGGTTTTCACAAAACGACCCCGATTTTTAAGATTGTGCGAAGTGTTTTGTGGGAAGTGCTTGTGCTGAATATTTTTTGGAAGTGTTTCTAAGTAGAATGGTTATGTAATTTTTAGGATTTTATGAATACTTCGATTTATTTAAATGGTTTTTGAAATGGGCACCTCTTTTTGGGGGTATTTATCTAGCCATTAACACGTGTCTGCTTAAATTGTTGGCACAATTTGTCTTTTCGGTTTTAGTTTGCAATGGAGTTAAATGTAGAGCCAATATCGTCGAGGACGAACAAAATTGTTTTGATATTTACTGAGGCAGTTTTTGTTTGGTTATAGTTTATACCAGTGATTTTTTGTTAGGTATCTGGGAAACTGTTAATCATGGAATTTTATGGAATTAAAAAGCAAGTTGAAAACCTATATCACATGCAATTTAAAAGAATAGGAATGAAATCAAGTGTAATAAAATGGAAATAAACATATCAGAATATTTTCTTTTTAACCTGTACATAAGCATTTCATTTTTATCGAATCTTAATGTCATTATTCTCCAAGAGGTTAGGGATTATCCTATGCAATTTAACAGTCGAATTAATTCTAGAAAAATTATGTATTTTTTCCAAGAAAAAAAAATTAACACATAAATTCCAAACATTGCATCTTTATTTTTAAAGGTTTAAATAACAATACAAGAATTTTTCCATATGTAAATAATAACTCTGCTTAAAGATATAGCAATTTTAACTGTGTCTTGAAATTCTCTTTTATGGCGACTGTAAAATCATGGGTCTCTGAAACAAAGAAAGTTGAAGATTTTTAATTTACATGAGTATGGCGATCATATTAAACCCACTAAACAAAGAACAACGAACAATTATAGAGGCAAATTGTTCGGGATCAAAAGTTATCACGTGAGCCATTCCTTTCTCGAAGAAAGATCAACCGGCTTAATGAATCGGATTGGGGCTCGCGTGGGTCGCGTCCACGCTTTGTCCACGCATTTATTTTGACAAGATTACATGTAATGGAGACTTAATAAACACATCGCCGTGGCCTCCTTAATGCAATCTAGCCCTATTGCGCGCATCATTTGCCGAGGCGAACCGGTTCGATCCTCGGAAAAACACGTTTCCTTGTTCATACATTGTGAAACCCTTGTTCAAACTTGAGGCATACGCTAGAGGGTAATAATATAACAGACTATAGTAAGTAGCTCCGATGAAACGATGGCATATAAATTCGCATGACAAATATATCTTAGAGGTGCCATTTTTATTTTAGGTACCATTCTGAAGTTTCCTCTGTTACAACAAATTCTATAGCTATACAAATGTCGATGTCAAATACCTTAGAAGTGCCATTTTGCAGTTTCCTCTCTCTTTCTTCGAACTCTAACCTGTATATTAACTACTATTAACCCGTAACGGTCGAGAGCTTTTTTATAATACTCGCCCATAAGACGTTATATTACGGTAAATATTTTTTGTCAGTGCATGATCAACAAATCAATAATGTAATAAGTTGCGATACACGATAAAGAAAACTACAACGATGATAAATAAATGAAATGAAAACTAAATTCTTTTCATGTCCCCTTATTGGAGCCTTTCGGTCGTTAAGGGTTAATATTCACACGACGAATATCTTGGAAGTGCCATAAAATTTGATTGCCATTTTGAAGTTCCCCTTTCTACAAACTCTGCAAGTCAGTAAACGAATAACTATACGAATTCTACCAACCAATATCTATTATTCTGAGCGTGCCACTTCGAAGTGTGGCCATCATTTTGCAGCTGCTACTTTAAAATTCCCTCAACCTACTTAACTCCACAGTTGCCCAATGCACAGCTCGCCGCAGTGACTCTCAACCGAATCAAACATGCCCGTCGCTGTAACTCAGCCTGACACCGAAAACGAGCAAAGCTAACCGCCTAAAATTTCCACAGGAAAATCTTGCCGGACGTATTGCCTTCCTGTTCGCCAGGAATATTCCGTCAACGATCCTTCCGCGCGGCGACGCCGCCGCCGAAGAGCGCCGCCGCGAACTCGGACACCGCCACCACCATCAGCGCGACTACCACCACCGCGTCGTCGAACAGCCACGAGCGCGCAGGCGCCAACACGAACGGTCCACGTGAGCCGAAAACACCGAATAATAGCGGCCGTTCGAAGAGCGGCGTGTTACTGCTAGCGCGGGGCGCCCGGGGTGCTAGCAAGCACACGCGCCTTGGCACGGCACTGGCGAACAAAATGGCGTCCTCGAGCTCCACCACGGTCGTGCAGGGCTGGCCGAATACCAAGGACGACTACGAGCTCAAAGAGGTTATTGGTGAGTAACGTCGCCGATCCGTTTCTCCGGCGAACGTCGGCAAACCCGATCGTTCTGTTCTCTGCCGGTTGACGAGGTTAACGTTCACAAGGGGATCCCCGAGCGACCGGGTAACCCGACGGCGAACTGCCCCTCTGACGTTACGGGATCTCGCCCAGTGCGTGACCGCGCCACGGATCGTTACATAAAAACCGAGGTGATCGACGTTACGCGGCCGTCACGTTTATTTCGACGCCGGAATCACGTCGGCTCGTCTTGACACGGTTCCGTGTCCTCTCCCTGCGTTTCTGTCGCTCCGTCTCGCTCCCGCGGACGGCGCGTACGCTCGTGCTCTCTCGCTCGCACTCGCGCACGCATACCGGTGCGCGACAATACCTAACCTAGTTAAAACTGCTGCGGAACGGGGACCAGCTACGTTGCGTGCGGAATTTTCGTGGACGTACTCGAGTCGTGCGTTCGGTTTTAGGCTGGTAAAGTCACCGCGAGACATGCCTCTTCGATGATTCGAATGATCTACTTTAACCTTGTCCCACGCCGGTTTCGCGGTAGAGTGGTTTATGTATGGACACGAAACGCGTGCTCTCGGGGACGTTGTTTTGTAGCTGACTTAGATGGGGATTAGTCCGATGATTATGTTGGACGCTTTAACGTTCGCTACCAGCGTCACATATTTGTGACGCAATCTTATGTTTTACATAAAGCGAATGGAATTGATCTTATAGATATTGGTATTTCAAGTTAGAAGCTACAGCATTATATTTAGGAACTCAATCACTCGTCCCAGTTTCATTTTATCGATATTTCGTTTAAAAGATTCATTGGATTGAATAAAACATTACCATTGAGGAGGTCCTCACCGAAATAAACGCTGGTAGCGAACGTGTTAAGATTGTTATTGGAAGCTGCGGCTCGCGAATGACAGTTGGTACTCGGTGTTCTGGGAGCGTCGAGTGCTTTTGTGTTTTCTGCCGTTTCACTGAGGTCAGCTTTGCACAGGTGAATTAGTATTGGGAGTAGATCTAATTTATGGTATATAGTGACCATTGGCGTAGGCTTCGGTGGAATGATCGATGTCACGCTTGGATTGCAGGGATCGCGAGTCACGTGTGGTAATGTTTTTGAAAGAGAAGTCCGTGCAATAATGTTATTCTTTTCAGTTCTGAAGGCGTTTGGTAGTTTTCCACTGTTTAGACAGTAGGGCTAGAAGGTTTGTGCGTTTAAAGTCACTTTGAAGAATGGGTTGATCCAGTACGTAAGTTTCGTGTCAATACCGGTATATTGTGAGCGTTGTATGGGGGCAACGTGACGTCACGACACACTCGAAATTTCATTTGAATCACGAGTGGACAACTGTTTCTGACATTTGATTGTTCTATCAGGGATTTCACTTCTCCTATTTACGATCTGCAGATGCATGTCAGTTGTCACATATTTGAGCGTTCTATGCGTCATACGGGTAGCGACGTGACGCAGCCAGTGACGTATGTAGCGACGTCATAATGCACTCGAAAATGTAATTCAAGAGGAAACAAGAATGTTTCATGACACACGATATTTTATCAGTATATTTCGATTTTTTTATTCTCGGAATTTATATTTCACATTTTTTTATCTAATCTTCCATGATTCGTGTGATTGCAGGCGTGGGCGCAACTGCAGTGGTGCATGCCGCATTTTGCATTCCCCGGCAGGAGAAATGTGCGATAAAAAGAATAAATTTGGAAAAATGGAACACAAGCATGGACGAGTTGCTGGTAAGAGCGATTCGATTTCGAGCTTATGCGTAGGTGAAAGGATTCGCAGAAATTTGCCAACGATAACGGATCGGCATGCGATTATCAAAATTATCGGTCACAGTGTACCGAGAATTAAACTTCTTAGGCCCCGTGATAACGGCAGGCGTTGCCCGATAAGATAACGTTGCAATAGTTATTGTAATAAGAACGATGTTCAAATTAATATTCATGGATCGTAGTTCATTTAAATAATTTCAATAATTAAAGATAACAGCACCAAGGCAAAAGAGTTATTGATAAGGAACGTTATGACCTAGGATAGAACCTATTGCGATCGTGTTAGTTTGAAACCCCGAAATAGTACAACCGAAAAGAAAATGCTAATATTTTAAGTTTGTTAATCATATGTAATAATTCTAGTATTTAATATTTAACCCCTTGCCTTGTGATTGTTTTCAATTATGATCGATACAATCACTTTGTCATTAGTAATTTATTGAAACAAGAGAAAAATTCTGGGCATACTTTACGTCTATGCTTGCTCTAAGGTATAATTATTTATAAGGGAAGAACAATATTTGAGTTCAAGGGGTTAATCGCATATAATTATTTACTAGAAATATTTAACATTTTTTGACGAGGCGAAGACGATATTCTTTGAGACTAACTCGAAAAGAAATCACCAGTACATTGAGGAACAAAGCTGTTTTATTCCAATATTTCACGTATCGAGACATTATACAAAGTTCAACATTAAATATCAAATTCTATAGTTTTACTGTGTCATATCAAGTGGTGACTGAGAGTCACCTCTCAAGTGCAAAGGGTTAATATTTCAAATCTTTTAATGAAGTACAGAAATTCAAATATTTGTATTGCTTAATAATCCTAATATTTCGAAAGAATCATTCTTAATACTGTTACATTTAATATTTCAAATTGTTTACAATGATTCTCCATTTTTTCTTTCCAACAGAAAGAAATTCAGGCAATGTCCTCGTGCAACCACGAGAACGTGGTCACATATTACACATCATTCGTCGTAAAGGAAGAGCTGTGGCTCGTCCTCAGGTTGCTAGAGGGTGGATCCCTTTTGGACATTATCAAACACAAGACGAGAACCACAAATTGCAAGCACGGGGTGTTCGATGAAGCTACGATAGCGACAGTGTTGCGGGAAGTGCTCAAAGGGCTCGAATA